GCATGTTAGGGGTAGATCTCCCTTTAGACCGAATAAAAATGGCTCTTTTTCAAATAACAATAAGCAATGGAATAACTCCTACAATAGTCAATATAAGAAGAAGTCTAGGAGTAAGTCTAGGAATAGATCTCAAACCCCTTCAAAGTATGTTAAACGGTGTTTTAATTGTGGTGACACTTCACATTTCATTAGGAATTGTCCTAAGAAGAATAGAAACTTGAATAACAACAACAATAACTTTAGAAATGGAACACCCACTATTAATACCTCTTCAAATGAACAAGTAAATTTGATTTCTCATGATGATAGCTTAGGTGAAGTGTTTGCTGTTACTGCTGAATGTTCCAATGTGACTGCTTTTAATAAGAATGAATGGTTATTAGATTCAGCTTGCACCTATCACATGACTCCTTTTAAGGAATTTTTCAGTGATTATAAAACTCTTTTAAACTGTAATGTGACTATGGCTGATAATAGGGTTTGCAGTGTTAAAGGAATAGGGACTGTTGTGCTGAAATTTAAATCTGGAAATGTTTTAAAGCTGTGCAATGTGAGACATGTCCCTAATCTGTCAAATAACTTGCTTTCTCGTGCTGGTTTGTCTTCTTTAGGACTAGAAGGAAAATGGGGAATGGATTTTATGAAAATAACTAAGGGTTCTTTAGTAGTTTTCAAGGCTGATTTGAGAAATAATCTCTATATTGTGTCTGCTGTGCCTATTTGTGAATCTGATGCTTGTGTGAATGTTGTCCATGACAGCATTGAGTTGTGGCATAGGAGATTAGGTCATTTAAGTAATAGAGGATTGGAGATTCTGCATAAAACTGGTTGTTTAGGTGCTGGAAATTTCTCAAATGTGCCATTTTGTGACAATTGCATATATGGAAAGCATCATAGAGTTACTTTTCCTCAAAAACCTACTGAAAGTAGGATTTTTTCAAAAGATATCCTTGAATATCTTCACTCAGATGTGTGGGGACCAGCTAGTGAACCCACACATGGTGGTAGAAGATATTTTTTAACTATAATTGATGATTTTTCAAGGAAAGTTTGGGTATTTTTTAATGAAACAAAAGTCTGATGTGTTTGAAATTTTTAAAAATTGGAAAATTTCTATTGAAAATCAAACGGGTAAGAAGATTAAGTGTTTGAGAACTGACAATGGCTTAGAATATTGCAATACTTGGTTTGATAGCTTTTGCATTAAAAATGGAATAAAGCGACATAAAACAGCCCCTTATACACCTCAACAAAATGGGGTGGCTGAGAGGATGAACCGAACTCTATTAGAAAGAGTTCGAAGCTTGCTTGCTTCCTCGGGTTTATCCAAGAGCTTTTGGGGTGAGGCTGTTCTTACAGCAGCCTATTTAATTAACAGATCACCTTCAGTGCCTTTGAAAGGTGAATGTCCTGAATTTAGGTGGAGTGGAAAGAGAATTGATTTTTCAAACCTGAAAGTATTTGGCTGTTCTGCTTTTATACGTGTTTTCAATGATAAACTTGAACCTAGGGCTGAGAAGTGTGTGTTCCTAGGGTATCCCGAGGGAGTTAAGGGATATAGGCTATGGTTAAACACTAAACCAGGTTTCAAAACTTTTGTTAGTCGAGATGTAGCATTTAATGAGAATGAAATGCCCTGTTTGAAGCAAAATCAGACTTTAAATGATGAAAATACTGCTGTTAATGGTCCTAATGATACTCAGAATGAGGTGGAGCAAAATCATTATAATTTAGCCAATTTAGAGGCTGAATTACTTGATCACAGTGCCTCAAATAGAACTGATACCAGAACAACCAGTTCTGATCCAGATTTTAATTCTGGAAATTCAGAGACTGGTCTGGAGATCAGTTCTGATGATGTTGATGAGAGAATGGAATCTGGAATTGCTGAAAATATTGATCAAAATCTGCAAAATTATCAACTTGCTAGGGATAGAGTTAGGCGAAATGTAAGACAGCCCCCTAGGTTAGATGATTTTGATGTTGATGTTATCTCCTTAGCTTATAATGTGTTTGAATCATTAGATGGTAATGAACCAAGGTCATATAGTGAAGCTATGAAATCAAAACAAAGAAATGAGTGGGTTAATGCAATGAATGAAGAAATGAAGTCATTAAAGGAGAATAAAACCTGGATTTTGGTGCCAAAGTTAGCTAACAGTTCTGTTGTTGATTGTAAATGGCTGTACAAAGTAAAACAAGATGAAAATGGAGTTAGATTTAAAGCAAGATTAGTTGCTAAGGGGTTTACACAAAAGGAGGGAATAGATTACAATGAAATTTTTGCTCCTGTTGTTAAATATTCTACTATAAGACTCATGCTTACTTTGGTTGCCTATTTTAATTGGGAATTGAAATAATTAGATGTAAAAACTGCATTTTTACATGGTGATTTGTATGAAAGGATTTACATGAAACAGCCGGAAGGCTTCTTTGATAAAACTAATCCTAATCATGTGTGTCTTTTAAAGAAATCCCTTTATGGACTGAAACAGTCCCCTAGGCAATGGAACATAAAGTTTGATGAATGCATGAAATCTTTGAAATTTAATAGAAGCAATTTTGATCATTGTTTGTATTTTAAAATAGCATGTGAGCATCCCATATTCTTGCTATTATATGTTGATGATATGTTGATTATGTGTCCTAGTTTGGAAACAATTAATCATGTAAAAGATTGTTTAAGCAAGAAGTTTGATATGAAATACCTAGGAGATGCAAAGGTAATTCTTGGTATGAATATACTTAGGAAAAGAAAAGATAACATGCTGTTTTTAAATCAGTCTTCATACATTAAGAAAATTTTGAATAAATTCTGTATGGCTGATGCTAAACCTTCTGCTGTCCCCCTCACTTCTAATTTCATTTTATCTAAAGAGCAATGCCCAAAATCTGAAACTGATGTGAAATATATGCTGAATGTGCCTTATACTAGTGCTGTAGGTTCTATTATGTACCTGATGGTGTGCACTAGGCCTGATTTAGCATATTCTATTAGTTGTTTGAGTAGATACATGGCTAACGCGGGTGTTGAACACTGGAGTGCATTAAAGTGTGTGTTTAAATACTTAGTTGATACTATTGGAGTTGGTCTAGTATTTGGTAAACACACTAATGAGTTAAAACTGAATGGCTATGTGGATTCTAACTATGCGAATGATAGAGACTCTAGGAAGTCTACTACGTCGTATATCTTTACTTTGTGTGGTTCTTGTGTTAGTTGGAAATCCCAACTACAACATATTGTTGCCCTCTCTACGACAGAATCGGAATATGTGGCCATAACTGAAGCATTGAAGGAAGGTATGTGGTTAAAAGGTTTATTAAATGAAATAGGCTACTTGAAAAATGAAGTAACAGTTTTTTCAGATAGTCAATCCGGAATTCAGCTTTGTAAAAACCCAGTCTTTCATGATCGAACGAAACATATAGATGTTAGGTTTCATTTCATTCGTGATATAGTGTCTAAGGGTTTTTTAAAACTAGAAAAAAATACCTTCTGAGTATAATCCTGCGGATATGGGAACAAAAGTTTTATCAATAACAAAATTCAATTTGTGTAAGAAAACAGTTTATATAGATACTTTTGATTAGGAGAATCTTTAAAACTTGAAGGTTTGTATCTTTTGTTGTTTAAAATTCTGTTTTCAGCATGACATATTTAATCATGTAGCTGTTTTTTGTTAGTTGTGAAGCTGAGTTGTTTTTATAGTTGTTTTAAAACTTGAGAACATTAACCGTGTTAATAAGTCCGCAGGTTAAAAGACTAAATTCGTTAGAGCTCGGACAGGGATGACACCCTTGAAGCACTTTCTCCAATGCCCAAAAAGGTGGAGATTTGTGATGTTTTATGCATATTACACTTCGACCCGACCCGACCTATCGAAACCCGGATCCCGTGCCCGCGGTTCGACCCGATTGAGTGATGAATTGGAGGATGGATTCGGTTGGCCTGAACCGCCCTGGACCGCCCTCAAACCGGTCCAGGGGGTCTGATATATATATATATTGCTTCCCGGTTCAGACAGATAGACGAATACTCACTCCTTCACATCGCGATATTCACTCTCTGGAGCCCTAGTTTTCCCGACGAACGCGATCGATCTGTCTGGTGCATTCCGGCGAGTTTGGCCATCGGAACTTGAAGTTCATCCACCGTGGTTGTATTACAGCTTGTTCTAGAGCTGTTCTTCGGTTTGATTTCTCGATTCTATGTTTATGGGCTGTTCGTGGTGTAATTGATTGTCCGCGATGATTTAGGCTTAGAATCTTGAGATTTCTTTCGATTAGGTTGTTAATCGCGCTGATTGTGCGTTTCTGTGGATGTCGGTAGTGTTTGGGTCGAGGTTGTGTGTAAGTGTTGCTAGTCGGTTGAAATATTGGGTAAACTGAGTCCGAACTCCTTCGATTAACAAAGTATATAAAAGATTCGATGTTTCTTGTTTCATATGTGTTCGATTAGTTGTAAACTACAAGTATTAGGTCCTAAATTTCGATTACAGTATCCATTTCCTTTTTTAGTAATTGTACTATCTACCTAACGTTACAAATACCCTTCTAATTTACAATATATTACACAAATATAATGACTTTTATATCATACAATGTCAATAAAGGTAATTTAGTCTTTTTACTTTTATTTCTACTTTATCCTAATATAATATTAATATTTTTAAAATTTCGTGAAAAAACAAATGGATACATAAACATAGGACAAAGGGAGTATCATTTAAGCTATTTTACAAAACAAATACACCCACCCAAGATCTTTCTAAAACTTTCCAAAGTCATTTTTCCAGACAATGAATGTATGGCCTTTTTACATATAATAATCCCATCAATTTTGAAAGAAAATAGAGTGAAATGTCCTCCCACATGAAGTATCAAAAGAATTTACCAATATTTTTATAGGCCATCAAAATTGCAAGAGGAATATATATATATATATATATATATATATGGGCTCAAAGTGATGTTTGGGTTAAAGGAATTGGACCCAATTTGGTGTACTGGAATATAAAGTGGATCAATTCTTTCAATATTATCGAAAAAGTATTTAAATACAAAAATAGTAAAATACATAAATTCCAAAGGAAAGAAATAATATATTTTTTTATTTAAAAAAATAAAATTTAAATCCACCAATCAGGGCGTTTTGAGGCCAAACTTGTCCGACAAACTTTGCATATTATTGAGAATCGCCAACGTATTGCTCATGTACTCCTCCGACTTCTTCACCTTCATCTTGAAATCAACGAGAGCCGTCGATCCAGTCTCATCAAGCCCATCAAGACACGTGTCAAGATCCGTCATCGCCGCGCTAATCCACGTCAGCAAGCTGCTCACACTCATCTCCGTCAACACGTTCTCCACGCGGATCATCAACTCGGCCGATCTCCCGAGTTGGCTCGCCGAGTCGTCGACCAGCTCGGCGCAGTCTCTGGCCGCCGGTTCGGGCTTCTCCGACCGGCCGGCGAGGTCCTTCAGGCCGGAGACCTCGACCGCGGCGGCTCGGAGAGAGAGGTTGAAGAAGGCGAGAGGAGTTTTGGCCGGCGGCGAATTGAGGGGGGAGATGGAGGAGATGCAGGAATCGGGGAACCGAGTCACGGCGCAAACGGTTCGGAGCGACTCGGCGGCGCCGGCGCCGGCGAGGTCGGAGGGTTTGGATTCGTTGGGCTTGGCGGCGTTGTGGCGGATGACGGCGGCGACGACGAGGGAGGCGGCGATTAGGGTTAGGGAAATGATGAGGGCGACGGCGATGATTCTGCGGCGGAGTTGGCGGTTGATTTGGGGGCGGTCGTCGGAGGGATTGAGTTTGCCGTAGCCTTTGACGAACTGGACGGACTCCATCGCCATGGTTTTAATTTTGGTAATTATGGTTAGCTGCTGCCGGTGGTGGAGATGGGTTTAGAATCTGTATTGAAAACAAAACGCTGTCGTTTTAGTCGGTATTCTGAATCAGTGTATTAATTTAATATAGTTGAAAGGTTCTATATGCTTGCGTCTTTTTTTTTTTCTTTTTTTTTTCTTTTTTTTTTGGAAATTTAAAAATACTCCGTCTCAACATAAAACTTATACTTTTTGTAGCTACCGGGATTTCGTAGTAAATTTAAAAATAATACTCATTTTTGTCTACCTAATTTATTTATTATACATAATTTCTTTTAAATATAATTTTATATTTTAATCATATTTTAAAATTTATAATTTATAATTAGTTGAGACGGAGGGGGTAATATTTTATTAGTAAGTAAAAATGTATAAAAAGTTTTGATATTTTTGTCTTTGATTTTATATATATTGTATGTGTAATGATATATTTGTAATTTAAGCAAAAATTAAAAAAACATTTTTTATTAATATATTACTATTTTTACTAAAATAGAAAAAATATAATTTTGACTGTGATATACAAAAATATTAAAAAAAAATATTTTGAATTAATTATATTTAGACTTGTCAAAAAAGATTGACCGGATAAATTAGCTCACACAAACCAATATAATCCGCAAATAAACAAGTTATTTGCTTGCTAACGCTGTGGGGCGGGCTAATATTTACACAAGCAACTCAAACCAACCCATCAACTTTTTAACAATATTAAAAATATATATTTTTATGATTAATACAAAAAATAAATTATATAGTAGATTTTAAATAATAAATATTATTAAAAAAATAAATATAAATTGATTCAAAATTTTAAATATTATTTTTCTAAATTTGATAATAAAAAGTATTTAAACTATAAATATGAATTATTTCTGTAAAATTCTCTATAAATTCTAGAAAAAAATTAAAACACAATGAAAAATAGATAAAAACACATGAAAAAAACAAAACAAAAAAGTTGAAATAAAAAAGACAACAACATCCACGAGACAATTAGAAAAACGAGTAACAACGTAGAGAATATTGATTAACTGGTTTAACATAATGTGAAATTTCTTAAATAATTAACTATTTGATTAACTTAATCTAAAATATTTTTAAAAATTACTACTCCATTCCATCCGTCCTATAAAAAATATATTATTTCTCATTTTTGTCTGTCACAAAAAAAAGATATTATTTTTTTATTTAATAATTGTACTACATACCTAACATAGTTAATATCCTTACAACTTCTAATATATTACACAAATATCATTACTTTTATATCACACAATCTAATAGGGTCATTTTTTTTTTACTATAAACCAATATAATGCTATTATTTAAAAATCTACGTACAAAAATTAAATGTTACTCTTATTTTGGGACGGAGGTAGTATTATAAAAGACAATACATCTTCAATCACACATGTCCATTTACTTTTTTATGTAATTTTTTAAATTTTACTTCTTCCGTCCCTCGGCAAAGATGGATTTTTTTTTGTTAGGAAGACGATATTTTAGGTAGTGTAAATTAGTAAGTTATTATATTTCTATATTATTTTTTATATGAGTAATTTTGTTGATATTTTAAATATTTTTAAAATTATATCTCAATAAAATATATGCGATATAGATATCATTTTGTAAATAATAAAATTGTATATAATTAACTTAAAACTAATTTTATAACAAATGAGAAGTTTTAAATACATATAAAATTATTTGTTTATTAAAGAGAGAGATAGAAATAAAAGAGTGTTGATTGGTACATACATATAAGACGTTATAAATTTAATTAAATTGATTTATATTTGTTAAGTATATTTAATATGAATAAAATTACTAAAAGTAGAAAGAGATTATCTTTTATTAAACGGACAAAAAAAAATCATCCGTAAGGGACAGAAAGAGTACTATTATATATAATACTTCATCGGTCCCACATTAGAAGTCTTGGTTACTATAGACACGGGAATTTATGATAAATATAATTAGTAGATAATTAAGAATGTATTAGTGAAAATAATTAACTCATAATATAAATTATTATAGATTAAGATTAAGATAACTGATTAGTTTAATTAAAATTAAAAAATTTAAAATGAGATTAAGATGTATAATTATTTTCTAAAAAAGGAAACTGACATGAGATATGGGACGAACGTAAACGACAACATGAACATGGTAGATGTGACGAAGGAAGTACAAAAGATCTATGAATAGTCAATTTATCTATAAAAAAATAAATTAAATCAATTATATAATGATAATGATATTTTTTTAATAATACGTAAGCAACCACAATTATTAAAAAAATATAATTAAAGGTATAATATTAATAATAATTATATAATGATAATGATATTTATTTAAACTCTTGTCCTCACGATTACAAGTCCATAAATAATCATATTACCATAAAATTACCCCTATTTTTTTACTCCCTCCGTCCAAGCTAAAAGTATACAATTACTTTTGGCGCGGAGATTAAGGAATAATAGTATTTTAATTATAGTGGGTAGGTAAAAGTAGTAAAATGATATTTTTGCCCTTACTTTTTTGGTATAAAAGTAATGATGTGATATAAAGTAGGAGTATTTGTGAAAAAAAATGGGGTATTTAATAAAATGCTTACTTTGTAATTGGACGTCCCAAAATAGAAATATGTATACTCTTTTACTGGACGGAGGGAGTATCTATATTACACAATTGTCACTATTTTTTACTCTAATACACCCACAAGGGCAAAAAAATCTTTTATCCATACTTTTTACCAACTATCAATATAATATCAATATTCCTTAAATCTCGTGCCAAATCCAATTAAGACTATATTTATGGGACGGAGTGAGTATTAATTTAAAAATAATAACCGTTTATAAAATATTATTATTTGTTAATTTAGAAATAATAAAATTGTAAATAAATAAAGTAATTTATTATAGATATATTGTAAATAAATATGACGAACAACAAAAAAAAATATGATATAATTGTAGCGAATAGAGAATATTATTCTAATTAGTTTTACTTTATTTCCAACCGAATATATTATTTTATTTGTTTCTTCAAATTTTTGTCTAAATTTTAATTTTACTCTAACCCATTCTAATTTTTTTTTTTATTTAGAGTATTTCATATATATTTATTATTTTAAACAATTACGTAACTTATATTTATTTATATATTACTTTCAAGATATTTTTTCATTAATTCATATTATATAATATAAGTGTGTTTGTTTGGGGGATTGGATTAGATTTCTACTATTCATCCTATCTTTGTTATGAGAAAACGAGAAAGAAAGCAAATAAAGAACACAGAGGTTTTACGTGGTTCGATGACGGTGTGTCAACCTACGTCCACGGGCAGGAACCGGAGAGATTTTATTATACTGATTCAAAGATTTACAATGTGTCATCCGACTAAGAACCATAGTTGTCTATTTATAAGCATCCCAAAACACCCTAAACCCTAAGCCCATTTGTTATTAATTAAGATAAGCCCAAAAGGAACCCTGCCAATTGAAACAGCCATTTCGCTTTGGTTTAGGATCGGGTAGACCGCTAAATCCAAGTCACGTTTCAACAATCTCCACCTTGACTTGGAGTTTCTCCAACCGCCAAAGGTTCGTCAGTATCTCTCAGTCGTCTCCTTCCTGCCAGATGCCCCAAGAGGGCTTTACCTCCTACGAATATTCACCAAGTTCAAGCAGTGCTCAAACTTCTCCGTCGGTAGCGCCTTTGTCAACGTATCAGCTGGATTGTGTTCTGTAGCTATTTTCTGAATAGAAAACTTGTCTTCCTCCAGAACATCACGGATAAAATTCAACCTTACATCAATATGTTTGGTTCTCTCATGATACACTGGATTTTTAGCCAAACTCAAAGCACTTTGACTATCACAGAATAACACCGGTTTCTCCACCTTCAGACCCAAACTCTGCACCAGACCATGTAACCAGATACCCTCCTTAATACCTTAAGTCATTGACATGTATTCCGCCTCAGTCGTCGACAATGCAACCGTAGGTTGTAAAGTAGACTTCCAACTGACTGCACATCCAAACAGAGTGAAGATAAAACAAGTTAGTGATATTCGTTTCACCAAGTCACCTCCGTAATCAGAGTCTGCATAGCCAACAAGACCATCACCATGGCCTTTATCATCATATACCAGACAAATATCAGACGCTCCTTTCAAATATCGCAAGATCCACTTTACAGCTCCCAAGTGAGCTTTACCCGGATTAGCCATAAACCTGCTCACCACACTAACCGCATAAGCGAGATCCGGTCTCGTACATACCATCGCATACATAAGACTTCCAACTGCACTTGAATATGGAACCGTCTTCATGTAATTAACCTCTTCATCTGTAGCCGGTATGGTGCTTCGATCAAGTTTAAAGTGTGCCGCCAAAGGGGTACTTACCGGTTTGGACTGATCAACAGAGAATGCCTGCAAAACTTTCTCAATATACTTTTCTTGAGAAACCCACAACCGTCTTGCTTCTCTATCACGCCAGATCTCCATACCAAGTATTTTCTTTGCCGCACCCAAATCCTTCATCTCAAACTCACCTTTTAGTAGAGCCTTCAAGTCATTAATTACAGCCATGTTCTTAGCTGCAATTAACATGTCATCCACATACAACAGCAGATACACAAAGGAATCAGTAGAAACTTTCTTCGAGTAAACACAGTTATCAAACTGATTACGAGTATAACCATTAGACACCATGAATGAGTCAAATCTCTTGTACCATTGCCTCGGAGATTGCTTCAAGCCATACAAAGATTTCTTTAACAAGCATACCTGGTCCCCTTTAGAACTGTAGAACCCCTCCGGTTGAGACATGTAAATCTGTTCTTCTAGATTACCATGAAGGAATGCTGTTTTTACATCAAGCTGCTCCAGCTCCAGATCAAAAGCACCCACCATTTCCAAAAGAACCCGAATGGTTTTGTGTTTCACCACAGGAGAAAAGACTTCATGGTAATCGATTCCTTCCTTCTGTGAAAACCCTTTTGCCACCAGTCTCGCCTTGAACCTAGCAGGTTCAACACCAGGAATTCCCTCATTTCTTTTAAAGACC